CAAGGGCAACATTTTGACTGGCTGTCAGTTCAAGTCGAAGTTGTAGTCGAGGTCCTCTTTGGCAGGACTCTGGGCGACATATTGCCAAACATGTTTATTTACAGCCAAAGGAACAAGCAACAAGGAACAAGCACAACAGCTCGCGAGGCACAAAACAACAAAAAGGCAAGGAAAAGGGAAACGAGTGCGCACCGGAACCAGATCAAAAACCAAAAAACCGGAGCTCAAATTAACAAAGTCTGAAAAGTACGCTTGGATTAAAGTTGTCTAGGAAGAAGTTTGGCATAATTGAGTTATTTTTGGTTAAGGATCTATTTATAAGACTTTCACTATATGTTTGATATATAGATGAAAAGTTTTTCCTTTTTCAGTCCAGCTGCATGACTTTTCGCTGCGTGTATAGCAAACACATCTAGTCACTTTGCCATTGTCATTGTCATTGCTATTGCCATTGTCCATGGCGTTGTCAGGAGCTGTGTTTTCTCTCTTTAAGTTCCAGACGACGAACAATTCGAGCAATTTCACTTTAAAAATTGCGGCGTTTAGCGCGCGATTGCCACAAATCAAAGCGACATTAAACTTCCCCTAGCCCTCTCACCCCCCCGCTGGCACTCGACTTGTATTTACTCTAGGCAGGGGCTGTAACCGCCTTAGATTTGCGGGTCTGTCTGTGTGTGTGTGCCTTTTCATTTTTAGATAAATAAAACATCGCAAAGCAATCCCAAATGTCGTCTTCGTCTGTGCAGAGGCGTCCAAGAAAGTGGTTGGAGAAACCGGCTGACTGTGGGCTGGAGGAGGGCCAGGGGGTTGGCTGCTGCCAACATATGCGATGCCAAATCAGCAGCAGACAAAACAAACAAAGACTCTGGGACGGACAAAAGGACCAGGACTGTCAGACAGACATGGAATTCGCCGTCGCTGTTCAAAAATCGCTAAAGCAAATGAGAGCAAAATAAAAGTTTACGTGGCGCGCACGTGAGTGCCAGAGCAGGCAGCTTTTGCCATGGTACGCGAGGGTGGCTCCGTTGTCAGTGCCTGCTGCCGATTTTCGTGCGTAGACATCAGCACAGACGACAATATTCCACTTCAAGTGATTTGTTGTTCAAAGTAGAGACTCAAAGACCAAAAAAAGAAACAGAACTTTTCCAGACGTCGGCGGCTGCTTGAATGATGGCCGTGAGGGCGGGTGTCATGGGATGGCAGTTGGGGCAGGAGGGTGTTGCATGGGTGCCAGGGGCGTAGGCCTACAATTTATACACAGCTCAGCAATGGGTAGCTAATAAATAAATATGCATGAAAAAGCCTCCATTGCTCTGGATTAGTCTGCGAATTTATGTCTGATCCATAAGCTATGCGGAGCATTGCTTATGAAAGCTGATAAAGATGAGGTCTCAAAACAGAGACGACACTCGAATAGGCACAGATGAAGCATAAGCATGCCTGAAACACTTAGCTGTATAGCTATAGCCCTATATGACTTATACAGGGCTAGGGAGTATGTGAAATAAATATTTGAATGCATCGATTCAACCGATAATTGTGCCGCTTAAGCTTAAAGATTTGCCTCAGCTTGGCAGAGATTATATTTTAGAGCTTGAGCTAGTTGAACTAATAGAAAAGATAGAACGAGTTGTTGAACTAGAAGTAGAACTAAAAGTAATACTGCAATAAATAAGAGAAGAACTACTAGAAATAGGAGTAGAACTAGTATAAGGATGCACTAAGAGAAGACCCTCTAGAAGAACTAATTGCTATAACTAAAAGCTTATAGTTCAATAAGATAATTGCTATATATTCTATTTGCTATATCTTATAGTTGAAGCTGGAAGGCAATACGTTTGCCTCTGCTTGTTATCCTGTTTGCGCTTCATCCTCGTCTATGTCTACGTAATGTCAAAATTTACGCGTCTCTGAGCTTTGACCCTTGCAAAGAGCGGCGCCCGTGACCTTTCGTGCGTGCGTTGACGCGTCTGCGCCACATCAAATTTTATGGATGCTGCGCTCGAATTTGTTGTTGTTTCTGTTGTTATTGCGACTGTTGCTGTTGCTGTTGCTGTTGCTCTGTTTGCTTGGCACTTTTTATGCGAAATTAATTTAGAAAACTTTTTCTTGGAATCAGAAAATGTGAACAATTCACGTGTACGCCCAAGGGGTCAGATGTGAGGCGTCTGGGCTTGGGGTTGGTGTTTGTTTAGAGTCCCTTATTTTGAGGGAGGGGGAACTGTGTGCCATAGCTTGATAAGTATGTGTTTACAGTTAATGCGGCTTAGAAAACCATAAAGGTCAGAGTTTGAAGAGACGCGCGACAAGCGAAAAGTGAAAAGTTCTCAAAACTAAGTTACAAAATATAAAAAAAATCAAAGTGTCAGACATTGCGTATGAGCAACACAGATAAAACTATTTGTGAAGTGACAGGTGTTAGGATTAAAGACAGCAAAATAAGAGATGTGAGGGGAAAGCTTACCAACTGAAAGGTAAAAGAGTGTGAAGCTGAGGCAGAGTTTTATATTTTATAAGACTGAAGCGTTTAAGTATCCTAAATCTTGAATCTAGAAGATAAAATACGTAAACCTTTCTCTAAGTTTATATTTATATTTATTTCGGTTTGAATCTTTTTGGTATTCACGACCAAATATTACTTAATCCATCATCACTAAAGGATCTTTAAGTATCTTTTTCTATGAAAGTATCTTTTCTAACCAGAAAGTTTCGTATATTTAAGATGTGTTTATCTTGAGTAACTTTTAGTAAAGCAGTATCTTTATCTCTGCGCGTGTCTCTTTTGTCAATCATCATCTTTTTATCTACAAGGGTATATTAGTCTCTCGTTCTCTCTCAACTAAAGCATTTATAGTTGTATCTTCGTTAAGCTATTCCAAACCCTCGTTGCAGAAGTTTTATGGTAAATGCCCCAACGGAAATGCCCCTAGCCAAGAAGTGTCCCTACTGACAGCTCAAATGACCCATTCGGTGGCCACAATTTGCCATCGCTTGGATCTGTGGCGGCATGTGGCATGCGGCATGCGGCAAGTGGCAAGTGGCAACCAGCAAATGGCGAAGACGACATCAGCAAATGGCAAATGGCAAATGGGGCATCGGCATCTGATAGATATAAAAACATCAACACGCTGCCATCTACTCAATGCGCATTTGTTTCTGTGGCAATGTGCAGCTGTATCTATATCTCTCTATCTACAAATGTATCTTGGGTATATATTTGTGTGTGTGTGTGTGTGTGTGTGCGTGGCTTGCCTCTGGGTGCTGCATCTTCCGTTCATGGTGCATCGAACTTCAACTTCTGATTCTACGTTGTAAATATCTTGTGCTCATGTATCGACAATAATTATGTCTGAGCTACTCGTAGATCGCAACTGAAAGAATTTGCAAGATACTCAGATGGAGCAGAGAGCGTGAGTGAGAGAGATGGAGAGAGGGGGCGCTATGCCTGGCCGTGAGAAGGCCGCAGACAATAATACAAACAAGCCAAAGTGTGTAGAACGAAATGGAAAATGGAATCGAATCGAAGCGCATGAAATGAAATTGTGCACCCAACCCACAACTCCCCCCTCTCTCGCTTACGCTTCCTCTACTGTCCGCACAATACTCGCTCGTTCCTTCCCACATTATGAGAGGTGAATGGACGCAAGGTGACGCGACGTAGCGCAGTCGCTGCTTGCTGCTCGCTGCTCGCGTCGCTGCTGCAGTCAACGTCAGTTGAATGTTGGCTTCATTTACTATGGATTTGCGCGCCAAAAACGTTCCCCTTTCAGGAGTTGACTTTGTTTTGAGAGAGACAGAGAAAGAGAGAGCGAGAGAGACACGCGCACCAGCGAAACGTTGTGAATGTGAAACGTGGATGCCAAAAGGGCCATAGGCATGGACATGGGCATGGGCATGGGCGTGGCAGCAAAAAAGCAAAAAAAAAACAACGAGACAGGAGCACAGGCCAGACGCCAACTGTGCTGTACTCGCTGCCATTTGCCATTACCACTTCGCATCGACGACTGCCCCTGGGCCTAAGCCAACCTCCCCCCGAGAAGCGAAGCGTTTCAGAATTGCCGCTCCTTCAGTTTTGTGTTTGTCTTGCGAGTTTTGCTTTGATCCCCTTATTCTGTCTGGCTGGCTGGCTGGCATTCCCGTTCGCATTCGCAATTTTGCTTTTGTTTTTGTGCCCATTGCCATTGCATGCACTTCGCCCGCCACAGACAGAGCCATGTTATTGCCCTGTCGTCCTCTCCTTCTTCTGCTGTCGCTTCTCTCCTCGTTGTCGTTCTCGTTCTCGTTGTCGTTGTCGTTGTCGTTGTCGTTGTCGTTTGCTGGCTTTGTTTACAAGCATTTGATGGACCACTAACGTCGCTTTGAGACTCCCCTTCGCATTCGCATTCTGCAAAATGCGCGCGATTTTCTTGTTGCTGCCCTTTTTTCTCTCGGTTTTGCTATTTGTTGTTTTTGCGTTGGGGTGTCTTCTTCTTGCGCTCTGGCGAATTATGACAGCAAAACGTGTTGCGTGGCACAAAAACAAATGGCGAGAAAATTGTAATTCTCTTCCACGCCTGCCTCCTCCTCATCTTGTGCCTTGTGTCTTACGCTTTGGCCCCAAAGCCTTCTCTGGCAATTCGCATTCTCATTGCCATTCGCTTGATTTTTATTAGTTGTACTTTATTGAATTCGTCGATTGAATGAATTGCTCAATGAGCGGTTCCCCCCAAACAGACGCCACGCCAGCGCCCCATCCTCAGGCTCCCTCAACTAGCCCCTGCCACCATCCCATTTGTAGGGATTCTCAAGTGAAATGGGACAGAAAATATGTGAATTATCTTTGTGAATGCTTGTTTAAAGCTTATGGAAGAACAAATTCTATTGAAATACTAAATTAAGGTATGTTTATTGGAGGAAAGAGATTTCCAGATACTTTCCAGGAATATTCCTTTCTTGATATAATGGAATTATCTATTTTACTAAGGGAAACAATTTCTAAATAACTTTTCTTGTTCGTCAAATTCAAGGAACTTTTCATAGCGATATAATTTGAACTTTTAAGAATTAATTTCAGCATGGAATATTTGTAACATATTAAAAGTACATCTACGTCTAAATTTGCGAACAGCTCTTTCACATTTCCAATAGGACATATTAGCAACTGCAGCTTTGGTCAACAGCAATCCGCTTCAGATTCCGACTCGGATTCCGCTTCCTCTAAAGCATCGCAAATTTGCTGCGCGGTTAGGGACTTCCGTTTGGGTGAAGGATATTTGATGGTCTTCGAGCAACTAATGGAAGTTTGTAGTAAGTTTTCCTCTATGAACGATGTGGCCAGCTCTATATCTCCGTAAGCCCTCTTCGATCCATTATTCTGCAGGTGGATAGCGCGTCTTATCATGGTCTTCAGTTTGATTTTCTCTTGATCGAGGCAGATGAGAATCTTCTTTAAGTTGGCCTTGTCCTGGTGGGTCCGACAGGGATTTTCGCACAGGTCCCGTGTTTGTTCCTTGAGATCGTTTATAATTGCATTCTGGCAATCGATTTCTTTCGTCAAATCGAGATACTCCCGATACATGAGCTTTTCTTCCTCATTATCCTCGCTCGACTCGTCAAGCAGCTCAAACGGATCCTCTTCGCTCTCATCCAGTTTGTCCTCGACAATTCCTTCTTCAGCTCCCACATCCCCCTTTTCGCCTTCGCCTTCGTCTGCTGCCTCGATATCCTCTCCTTCCGGAGCCTCTTCGTCCTCTGCCTCAGACATTCAGCCGGTTTAGCACAAGTTTTAAAATTTTCAATTGAATATAAATTTTGATAAACTTTGAATTTATTTTTTACTTCTCTGTTGAATTCTAACAGATGACTGACAACTGGGCTCAAGGGTTAGATATAGAGATTGAAGAAATTTGTGAGATATCAAAAGAGAAAGAGGAAGATATTGAGTAGAGTCTATATTTTCCCTTCTAATTACATTTTTCAATTAGACCCTATTTTATTGGCCTTGAATGGAGAGTGGAATTCAATTGAAATTGAAATTGAATTGAGAAACTTTTAAGCTTTCCGTTTTCCATTTTGCGTCGTCCTTTTGAATGCATTTCGGTTGATGTCATCATTGGTTTTTACGACAGGTATTAGCTGGCGCTTACATTGTGTCTACAGCTTGCTTACTTCTGATGCAGCACACGGCCAATCCCCGCCACCTGCCACCTCACCTGTGTCCCGATGACGCCTCATAAATACATGTGCCGCCATAATGTCGGCGCCCATAAAAAATCCAAGTCGAATGCGAAAACTAAAGCTGCTGAAATCGTTGCTCACAGGTAAGGCGAGGCGAGAGTCCTTTATTATAGGGAATACTCGTAAAGTGGCTTAAGTGCCCCTTAAGGGAGCCGCTGCTGCTGCCGCCGCTGCTGCTGCTGCTGCTGCTGTCGATGACTGTTGCTCCAGCAGCTACTGCTCCCGTGTCAGCTTATGCTCCATCGTTCGAATGCACTTAATGCCAAATTAAATGCAATAGGGGTGCTGGAGTGAGGCGTAGCGGCTGCGGCAGCCATGAAAACCGCTTTATGATTAATGCGCAGCAGAGTCGTGTCGAGTCGCATCGAGAGTTATGCGCCTTGAAGCGTAATCCGCGTGGCATCAGCAGCAGCAGAAATCACAGTGCCAATAAAAGCGTTAGGCAAAGGCTAGGCACCGAAAGGGGCAGTAGGGTGTGGCAGGGGCACAACAGCTGCAATAAAACATAAATTTCTGACTGGCGAAAGTAAACGGAAATGCGTGCATTAACCACTTGTCGATGAGGGGGAGGAGGCAGTTAAAAGGGGACAGCTAAAGGGAGGTTAGTCAAAGAGCATGCTAGTTAAAAGGGAGTAGTAAAGACGGAGGAAGTCAAGAAAGTCTAGTTAGTGGTAGTCAAAGAGGGATCGCTGAAGAGGGGATAGTCGAAGGGGGATCGCTTAAGAGGGGATAGTCAAAAGAGGAACTGCTCAAAGGAGGGCTTAGGTGTTGACTGCCTTCTACTTAGCTGATAGCTCGTTCTGTTCGGCTTCTGGTGGTTTGGTAATGTTGAAAACCACTTAACTGCCACTCGCTTGCCACGCTGTTAGCACATTTAAGTTCTGTGTGCATGAGATAGCTTGGTTTTCTGTTTTTCTCTCATTTTTTGGCATATTTCCCGGCAGCCATTTGCTGTCTCTGACACTTGGATTAGCTTAGCTATGTTGGAAGCGGCGCTTCACTCTCGCCGCTTTAGCCCTGACACAAATATGAACCCCAGAGCTCCATAGCCAATGAGAGCCAAGGACGTGGAGACCAGCATCATTAGCCAGAGGGAGCCGCAGTCAGAGAAACACGTTGCATGCCCCCAATCTACATATCTAAATAGCTGCCAGCTAGCTGCTTGTCTCAATGCATTTTCGATTTGTGCGCAGATTACGTATACGACATGTTGAACGCCTTTAAGACTTTAACATGCTAAATCAAATACAATTTGTGCAAACTTTCATTTGCAAGCTGTGCAAATACACACACACAGACACACACACACACATATGCTTTGTCTGCACATAAGTTTTGCTCCTTTGCAGAATCTTTTGCGCTTCGCCCTTTTGGCTGCATGCAAGTTTTTCTTTCAAGTTTATCTGCAACCCGCTCGTGGCGCGCCCCCGCTCTGCCTCGCCAATTTCTTTCAGTTTGCTTTTCTTCTAGGTTTTCCTTTCCTATATATATATGCATTTTTTGTCAGGCATTGCAACTGGCGCATTTGTTTTGTTTGCTATTGTTGCAGTGCTTTGTTTATGCTGCAAAAAGAAGCATAAAATGATTTCATTAAAAAAGTTGTAAACTTTTTCATTTAATTTAACTGCAAACATCTTTTGTGTCTGCGCTCGCTGTATTATTCGCCTTCTCCATAGCCGGCTAGCTGCCACGCCCCCTACTTTTTAGTGGCTCATATTATACGCGAACTGCGACTGGCAAATTGAATTGCGAATTGAAAACTGTGAAAAGCGAGTTTCAATTAAACTTTTCGCTTTTCAATTTATGGGCCACGAGCACTCATTGACTGACTGATAGCGACTTGCACTTTAAATGTCAGCTAGCCGCACTTTCCATATAATTTAAGCGACAAGCTAATGGAGGTGTTTAGCTTAATTACAGGGTATGTGTGTGTGCGCGTGTGTGTGCAGAGAGTGTCAGGCCGATAACTCACATTTGCACCATCTAAAAAATAAACAGTGTCTGACGTGATCAACCACTCGCTCAACAACAACAATTATTTTGGACTTGCAGGCGGGCACATAATTCAATTATGGTCACAGTACACGCTGCCACACAGAGAGTGGTGGTGGTGGTGGTGGCTGCACCCTTAAGCTGCTTGGTGGCACGCGTGCTGGCACAACATGTCGTATTAGTAATATTTAAACACAAAAGCTCAGCAAATGTTTGACATGCGTCGCCATTAGCCGAGCGATGCATTGTGGCACGCATAGCCAAGCGGTTGGAGGTTGGAGGGGGCAAATTCAATTTTCGCATAAAACAAAGGCAACGTCTCCACTCCACTCCACTCCACTCCACATCACTCCAACCAACTCGCCTCGCCACGACTCTATAATAACAACAATAATAATCTGCTTAGAAGCCAGCGATGCGAGAGTGAAGAAATGCGTTGTAATTCCAAAGTTCGCTGCCGTCAAATGGAAACAAGGCAACAATATTGCAGCATATGGAGGCAGCCTAGCTGCTTGGCGGGCACAAGAGGTGGCAGCAATGCCAGCCGTGCCACATTAAGCCGCACAGTGGCTTGCATGCCAAAGAGTGTGGTTGCAAATATAAATATCTATGTATAAGGAAAATGCCGTACCCTCTCTCGCTCTCTCTCTCTCTCTCTCTCTCTCTCTCTCTCTCTCTCTCTCTCTCTCTGTCGCTCGCTATGAAATGTGTCATGTTGACAGCGTGGAAATGTCACTCATGCGGCGTCGTAATGAGTTTTGCCAACATTGAATATATATATATATCTTCAACCCCAACCCCAACCCCAACCCCAACCAAGACCCAACCCCCAGCCATTGCTTTAGCCCCAGCCATCACACTCGTCCTCGTCGAACACCCCCATTAGGCAGCACATGTCCATTCCCTGCAGTAAGTTCGCGATGCAGCTATCGCCCACGGGGCGTATGTGCAATGTGCCACAGATGTTGAGGCAAGCAGTTCTTACAGCAGTCTTGCCACACAATGGCATCATTCCAACCAAATAGTTTCTGTTGCCCAACTGCCAGCTCCATATATATTGATTGAATGATTGATCAACTAAGTGAAGTATTGATTAACTGGCCAAACTGACTTTTCTAATGATTGGCCGACTGCTTGCCCAGCTGATTGATTGAGGTTCTGTCTGATTGGCTGCCCTAGCGGATAATTGACTGAGTGACTGCTTGATTGATTGACTGATTGATGGAATGCCTGCCTGATAGCTGATTGATCGCTCATCAACTGCTGATTGCCTGATCAATATACTGACTGATTGATTGACGGAATGATTTTTGATCAACTCAAGCGAGTACGAGTTATAATCTGGCAGCTTTATAGTATCAACATTTCCTCGCACAATGCCTCAGCGCTTGCCAAGGCAACATCTATCGTATTTAATCAAAACACACCTTCACTTGAAATAGCATAAGGAAAGGCTTTCATAATCAACTTTGCTATTACTTATCAAGGTCCACTGCTGCAGTTGAACAAAACATTAAATATAACTACAATATAGATACTATATATGCTGAGCAGAGTCCTGATAGTGCCATACGAGCTGGGGGAAGAGGCAGCAGAGCTGAAGGAACTGCTTGAGTAGGCGATGTTTGTGCCACATTTGAGAAACTGCATCTCAAGGGTTGAGCTTGGGCTTGGTGTTGGTGTTGGGGCTGTGTGAGGCTCGTTTCTGTGCCTGTTAGAGCGAGACAAGAGTTGGCCCGCACGAGACCAGGCAAAGAATAAATTTGCCTTTTGGCCAACAAAGTTGTGAGTGCCCACGCCCACGCCCACGCCCACGCCCATGTCGAGGCTCAAGAGTCAACAATGGAATGTCAGTAACGCCCACAAGCCCAAACTAAAACACCAACACCAACACACACACACATCTATGACAATGGACGTACGTAGCCGGAAGCCAAAGACGGAGACGGAGAGAGAAAGAGAGAGAGAGACAGAGTCGTCGACGTTGACGTCGGCAGCTGCCTGCAACTGCCGTACAATTTCCATTGTAGTAGAATTTCACAATAATTGCAATGCAGTTGTTGTTGCAACTGCTGCTGCTGCTGCTGTTGTTGCTGTTGTTGCTGTTGTTGTACTACTATATGGAACGTAGTATGCTCTATATACCATACACTTTTGCCTTTTTCGGTCATGCAGCCCACAGCGGAGCGAGAGAGTGCAGCACACAAAATATCGATCGACTTAAATGAATTTAGGTCAGCCAAAGTCTCCGCCCTCCCCTAAACCACCCTAAAAGGCGTGTGTGTTTGTGTGTGCATCTTACAGATACATGGATAATGGAGGGTGGGTGGAATGCGGGGAGTGGGCAGGGAACAGGGAAAATGTCAGCCACTACTCACGTAACTTATTTTAATTCAAATCAAATAGGGCAACTTGATTGAAATGAAGGCGGTTGCAGCTATTGATAGTGCGAGAACAGTCGCACACGCGCACAGCATTTCAAAAAGATATAAACTATATACTTTATAGATATACTATATATATATGTGTGTGTGTGTGTGTGTGTAACAATAGTGCAGCTGAGATGCCAGCGGCTAACCTCTCCTCTCCCAGCCCTTAGATTGGCCATGCCAAACACGCGCCATCAACATGTGCATTTTATGAGGG